CCATAGTCTCGGTACGATTCGTGATTACGAAAATCTGTCTACGGTGATGTAGATGAATTTGGCTTAGAAAATACTTACCAAGGCCAAAATGTTGGCCGTATAATATTGTCCGGTGGAGTAAAGTCCGGAGCGGGTTTCCCTCATGAAGAGCGGGAATCCTTGGGGAAACAGGTTGAGTACGGAGTACATGGGATGGTAGGTATTCTCCGATATCATGATGAAAAGTGCACCCTGAACCGCCTGCACTCCCAGTTGCGATGGTTCCGTGGTTCCGGCAAAACAAGCTCCGATAATGAATGCCATAGCGATCTTCTGGACGAAACGCATCCACTGGATCGTGGGATCCCTGAGCAGAGTGAGCGATGCCCGCAGCCACACCACGTGGAACCGCTTGTACCAGGCCACGCCCCTAAAGGACTCCACCTCCGTGTCGAAGGGGAAGTTGCCCGATTGGGCCATGTGGATCTCCAGATTCACCAGCATATCTCGCTGCTTGGCCGCCGAACTGACGGCAAACTGATCACAAAGGTGCTGAGCGGATCTCTGGGAGGCCTGCTCGTAGCCAGGATCGGTGGCCAGGACGCCGATGAGGAAGTCCGCCGGATTGTAGGCCTCCGGGCAGTAGTATCCATGATTGGCAAAGAAACTCAGGGCGTGCTGGGGAGACCCGGTGAAGGCCACCCGTCCATCGGCTAAAAGCATCACGTTATTGAAGTTGTCGAAGAGCTGCGAACTGGGCTGGTGGATGGTGCATAGGATGGTGGTTCCCTTCTGGGCCAACTCGTACAATGTGGCCACCAGCTGCTGGGCACTGTAGGAGTCCAATCCCGTTGTCGGCTCATCGCAGAACAGAATCACGGGATTGTTGAGCAGCTCCACGGCGAAAGCCAATCGTTTCCGTTCGCCCCCCGAAAGGACCTTCTTGTCATCGCCGCTGCCAATTCGAGTATGGGCCGCCGAGAGAAGTCCGGTCCGCTCCAACAGCTCGTTAATGATGAGACGACGCTCCTCCTTGGACACCCGACGATCCAGACGGAGATGTGCCTGGAATTAGGGTATCAAAATGCTTTAAAGATATAGTTATATTCTACGTCGAAACTTATAACTAATCAGCAACAATGATTGTAAATGTTAAAAATAAACCTAAGCACAAACACTAGTTAAAAACAAGAGAGAACGCTATAGTCGGGATCCCCGACTATCAGATACCCGTTACTCAGGTAAAGGGAGTGCGAGGGAGATGGAGATAGAAACTTTTATCACGCATAACTTTTTAACGAATGGTCCGATTTGAAAAATTTCTTCTACATTTCGATTGGTATTGATAAACACAATAAAACTGCATTTTTACTTTTCCGAAATATTTAAATTTTTAAAATCGTATATAAGCGATTATGGGCGTTAAAGGGGGCGTGGCACCTTTTTGAAACAAACTCCTAGATTCTGCATGCAAAATGCCAATCTTCTAGCTTTTATAGTTTCCGAGATCTCGGCGTTCATACGGACGGACAGACAGACGGACAGACGGACAGACGGACATGGCTATATCGACTCGGCTAGTGACCCTGAGCAAGAATATATATACTTTATAGGGTCGGAAACGCTTCCTTCTAGCTGTTACATACTTTTGCACGAATACAATATACCCTTTTAGTCTACGAGTAACGGGTATAATAAAAAATGTCAAAGTTTTACCCTTAGGTATGAGGTCTTTTCATTAAAAGTATCCGAAAGTTGATGTTAAAGGATTATAGACATAAACTTTAAGACAAATCGAAATCATTTAAATGGGTCAAGTTTTTGGCCACTTTTTTGCAAGGCCTAACTTTATAGGTTAGCCCGTTCATTACCCAACCTTTGGGTCCCGATTGTTAACGATATAATATTACATTTAAAAGATCTTCTTTTAAAGTATTAAAGACAGTTGAAGAATAATTCAAGACAACAACTATGATTATGCAAATTATGTGCTCATGCTTTAAGGTAAAATATAATTCTTGTCACTTTCACAGACAGAGTCAAGTAAATATGACGCTATAGAATGTAGGGAAAACATGTTTATGGGCGACTCGTAGAAATCATAATCCCCTGCAAAGATACAGGGGATACAGATTGCTGCCTGCACTCCCAGCTCACCATGAAGTTCAAGTGCTCCAGTACAGTCAGCGATCCGAGGAAGAGGTCATCCTGGTAGACGTAGCCGCTGATCCGGTGCATGAAGGGCCCGATGCGTCGACCGTTTATCAGAATGTCGCCTTGAACCACAGTACCGGCTGCAGCGCAGATCCCAATGCAAATGGAGCGGGCGGAGATAATGGGGATCAGGGCTAATCTTATCGGGAACTACAACTTGCTAGTACAACTTACCCGGCTGTCGAAAGGCGAGCGTCGACATAAGTGTTGTTTTCCCAGAGCCACTGTGAATGGGGAGATGTTTTATGGGGGGCGAAACTTAGAGGAATCTCTGCTTATCACAGGGCTGATAATCAGTCACAAACCAGATATCTTGACATAGTTAACACATTTTTGGACATCGTGTTCTTGGGCACATTCCACTTGAGTGCACCTGATCTTTTGCGATATCGATCTCTGCAGCCACTTACCTTGAGCCCATTAAGGCCATCAGAGTGCCCGGTTGAATGGCACCAGTTGAGTTGTTGATGATCCGCTTCATCCGCTGTCCGGATCCCCCGACATTGGTGTAGACGCAGAGATCCCGCCACACCAAAGTGGCCCCCTGCTCCGTGGGCGACCACTTGCTGTAGCTCCTGAGTGGCAAACTCCTCTCCGAACTGTTCCGTTTCGACAACTTGGGAGTGCTGTCCAGGCTGGGCACCTCGATGGTGCTGCCCACCGGCATCAACTGCAGCTCGTGATGCTCCACCGCCTGCGGGGCCTCCACATCGATCAGCTTGCTATCTGAGTCCGACATTATCTCTGCGTTTACCTTAGATCCCACGGCTGAGGAGTCTGATTTTTCTGAACCGAAGCGTGCCACAGCTGGGCACCAACTAACCAACTGAGCTCTGCTAAGAAGTTGTCGCAGCCAAGTTGACAGTAAGACAGGCAGACACAGTAAATATAAGCTAGTTGGCACTCCGGAATAGGGAACATACTTAATTTGCTTATGCATTTTAATAAATTTAAAATTGGTTTTTATAATAAGAAATAGGCCATAATAAATTTTTGAACTTTAAGAAATACATTTTGACTACATTATTTTAGAATAACCCACCGTCGGTAAAAAAAAATATTTACATACCAATGACTTAATTAAGAAATCATCTTATGAAAACAGGTAATAATTTTCCAAATCAAATTTCGTACCACTAGCATTTACTAATGTTTCAAAACTAACAGCTACTTTTATATAATACGTTAATTGACTTTTATTCATAAATATGTAAAGGTTGTTTTTTTTAATAAACAAATTTTTAGGTATGATTCAAACTCTAAGACCCCTTCTTTTATTTGTCTTATATATTATATTTTACAATTTCCACCCAAGCATTGACCACTGTGGTGGTGCTCAGCAGTCAACAATGCAAATAAGGTAAACTTGGGAGCTGAGGTGCGGAGTTCACAGTCTTTAGGGTGGCCCTGGCAGCGAGCATTCGATCGTCTTGCAGTTTACCGACCGCTTGGGAGGCAGAGGCAGCGGACTTAGTCGGCGGCTCCGGTTACCATTGCCAGCGGAAAATGCAGTCCAGACCAACCCATCGGGAAGCCCCGCAGCGCCAGAGGCATCCAAGCAGCCAGCGGGAAAACCGCCGGTGCCTCGGGAAAGCCAGCAACCAGATGGGAGCTGATTCTCGTCTCTGTTTTGCTCAGCGTTTTCGCATCGCATAAAAGGGGACCGAGAAATTAATTCAGAAATAAATGTATGGTAAGTTGTCGTATTATATTCTACACCACTAATAAGTTAATATTCTTAATAAGAGCTTTTATAATGTACTTGAGTATTTTACTTCATGTATTATTTGTAGTTCACCTATTTTGAACAGAAATGCCACTTTTTCGAGAAAATGGTTTATCACTAAAGACTGATTTTTGAAGTGTTTTAATATGTTTTTTCATCTATACAATTATTTATTCGAACATCGAGCGAAACATTCTTAAGTTTTAGCTCGGCTTACGCAAATATTTGGCATACTTTTAGGATGCTTTTAAAAACTTGTTAAATTTCGTACCCGTTTTGGTGTCAGTCTAAAATACTATTAACTTTCAGCGCACACACCGTTTTTTAACAGAACGCCATTCGACTTTGCCCGTTAATAACTTTACTTGTAATTGTCCGATTTTCAAAAACTTTTTTTTTGTAAAAATAAAATGGTATTAGCTGTCAAGTTGTAAATTTAATTTTTCATAATTTAATTCGTAAAAAACTGATTGGTGTTTATGAAAAAGTCACTTTTTTTTCAATAATTGTTATTAAAATGAAAAAAGTGATCAGTCTACAAAAGAAAGCTTTTTTTCGAGAGTTCAGGGTACGAAATTTCAGATTTTAATGGCAGTTTAACCGTACTCTCCAAAAAGAATATTTTTTTAGTCATTTGAAAACGGGTCAATTTTTTCGTTGTTGCGGGTAAAGTGTTGTATAGAGTAATGCATTTTGGGGCTCAAATTCTTTGTTTTAAAGAAACCTTTTTAGTAAAAAACTTATTTATTTTTAAGACAGTTTTTTTTTTAACTTTCTGCTCATAATATAATTGTCAACAATAAAAAATAGAAATCTCTTTATCTTTTATTGTATCCAGTTTTGGCAGTCTGACAAAAAGCTATTAAGACACGCAATAAAAAAATATGACCCTAAGTTGAAATGGCTTTTCGGAAAATCCCTTTGCATACATAAAATAATAAGCAATAATTAGTAATTAAAGTAGTTGAAGCGATTGATTTCAGTGGAGTCCAATTCAAATCGCCCAGTATCAGCTTTGTCGCTGATAAGCGGATTTTAACGAACAAAACTGCCCTCTGTGTTTTCAGTTGCTGTCGAGCTATACAGCACACAAGTCGCATCCGAGCTGCTCAAATTACTTTTACAGCAACATAATTCCAGTACTGAAGAAGTGCAGCGTTTGTGAAATTTAAAATACAACAAAAGGCAAAAAAACAAACAAATCACGTTGCTTTTGAGCGCTGTAAATCTGTTTACTAATTAAAAATAATCACGCTATTTTACTGGCACCTGAAAACAGTTATCGCCCGACTAGTAAGCCGCGTTGTAAATCCAAACCCAATATACTCTATACTTAAACTTATCGCTGCGATTATTGAACATTTTTGATCTTCAAGGAAAAGTGAGAGTTACGTGCGGGTCGATAAGAGGGTATGGGAAAACACAAAATTTCCGCCTAACGATAATTAAAATGGTTGGAAACGCCGCCAGCACGTGTATTCAATTAAATATTTCATGAAAACAAATTATTTATTTAAATACCCAATACTTATACGGATATATACGATAATACCTCTAATTTACTGAAAAACAAAAAAACGGTGAGCCAATAATAAAGTGACCTAGAAATTAGCAAATCTATCAATATATAGATAAGCCGCTAATGCCGGCAAAATGTGATTATCATTGTGGGCATTGCAATTTTTGATTTACAAGTTTATAAAACTCCGTCAAACAATAATATAATATAAATTCGCGAAAACTTAATACACAAATATACCCCACACCTACAGGAATACAGTTATAAACCTAATCTTTTGAGCAATTTGCATAACAATGGGCGGTTCAATTATCACATTACGCTGCAAGTATTGAAAACAGCAATCTGTTGATAAGCTGACTTGGCGGTTAAGTTTTGAATTTCGATTACTTATCGACGACGCGAGAGCTTGAAAGCTGTTAACTTAACAACATAACTTAACAGCGCGGGAGAGAGTACGAGTGCGCATAGTGAAAATGAGCGCTACAGAGGTGAGTGCTAGTCCTCCAAAACTTAGCCGCTAAATGGTTTGTTTTTGTTTGCGACGCGACGCGGCTAAATTTATCAAACACGATGTGAAGTGAGAGGACAACAAAAAAGTGTAGCGGAATTAGTTTTAATTTAAAACAGCTAAAGAAATCAAATAAATTGGAGCGACGCGATTCGCTGAGTGATTACGTATGTCAACTGATGCCCAGTAACCCCAAGAGCTAAGAGAAAACAGACTTGGAAAAAAACACATGCCTTTAGTGACCTTGGAAATCGTATTATTTGTGCAGACATAGTTTTCCCTTATTGATTTTATATTTAATGGCTCGTTTTCAAACGAAAACGAAATGAAATATATACTTATTCTTAAACTTCCTACAATGTAATTCAAGTATCTGTTTATCGCATTGTTTACTTACTACAATAAAGGTGACAACGTAGGGCGGTGAATGAATTGATTACGCGAAAGCGACTTGAAAATGCTCTACTTGTTTCGGAACAGAAATGTCACACAAAAATTAATATTATTTTTAAATGGTCCATACTTAAGAGCGTTTTTAGGAAAGAATTCTAAAAATATTATGACATGTTTTTTCATTTTGGAAAGTATTAAACAAATATTTTTATCATATACAAAAAATTAAAGATTAGAAAAATTCAAATGTCCTTTGTATTTCATTACAATTTTTAAAAGTAAAGTTTTTAAAAAATAATTTATTTTAGATGATTGAATAATTATCACAATAAAGTTCAATGAATTTTGAATTTCAAGCTATTATTCGTAAACTGCCCTGCACTTGGAACCCGTTTTGCAACATCGATCCATTAGCTAAACCAACTCTTGATAGTTTAAAACGTGTTTGCACCTTATTTACTTTAAAAAGCCGCCGGCGTTGCCAACATGAAAAACCCTTTCGACAACGGAAGTCCAAAATCTATTGCATACTTGCAGGCACACTCCGAAAATGCAGCAGAAAGGCGGAACAGTCAGATCAGCGAAAACAGCGCTGCCGGAATCGCTAGCGAGGACCAGGGGGAGGGCCGGAATGCCTGTCAGTGGGCGTGGCTCGTGGTGAAATCCATTTCCGTGGAACCCACAATGTTCCTGTACATGTTCGCCTTCATGATCACCTCGGTGGTGGAGGAGAATTTCTTCCTGTACAAGTCCTGCCGCGTGAACAACAATTTTACAGAGGAGATCTGCCGGAATCTCAACAAAGTGGAGAACGAGGAGTTCAAACGCCAGGCTCTTCTGACCAATGCCTGGTTCCTCCAGTGGGAGGATATCTCCGCCCACATCTTTCCCATCATTTTGGCCCTTTTTCTGGGCTCCTTCTCGGATCGGCGGGGCAGGAAGTTGCCTCTGCTCATGGGACTGGTGGGCAAGTTCTTTTATTCCACGATGATAGTGGTCAACGCAAGGATGCCTACGTGGCCGGTGCAGTACATCATTTACTCCGCCACCCTGCCGTCGGCCATGACTGGTGCGGATGTGGCCATCTTCGCCTCCTGTTTTGCCTATGTGTCAGATATTACCACGGTGGAGCAGCGCACCATTCGAGTGACCATCCTGGACGTGATCTACCTCAGTGCCATGCCACTGGGCGTGGCTCTGGGTTCCCACCTCTTCAACAACGTCTTCAATCAATCCTACGCGGATATGTTCATCGTGAACGCCTCGCTGCTCGCTTTGGCCATTGTCTACACTCTGTTTGCGCTAAAGGTGAGTTTAACGGAGTCCTTGTTCTTTATTTATTCTTTTATTACTTTTACAAAGTCAACACAACTGAGAACTCTATAAAATTAACCTATTTAAACAAGATAACAAGATATAAGATAAATTTATATATCAAACTATAATATTATTAAAATTTTTTCAGAACACAAACTATTTTCAGCGAAAGATAAGATCTGTAGAGAAAATATTAGAATGTCCTAAGTTAAACCCTCCCATTCTTATTCGTTTTTAAAAAGCTTCGAAATTACCACTACTAGTAGTAATAACTTGTCTCCTTTTATGCATATTAAAAATATATATCAACGGAATAAATCATTTTAAATAAGATCTTCAACAAAAATTTAAATAATTAATCTTTTTCATAATATAAATGATAGGCCCTTGGTCTGTTTATATTGATAAATATGTTATATACACCGTCATATCCCATCTAAAACTTTCAGTGGCAAACAACGCCAAGACAGCGTTCGCTGAGGGAGCTCGGTTGTTGTGGCTTCTGGGGCGACTTCTTCGACAAGCAACACGTGAAGGACTCGCTGGCGGTGCTGGTGAAGCCGCGAAGGGGACATCGCCGCAGCTTTCTCATTATCCTGCTGATCAGCATGGCCCTGTACACCTTCCAGCGGGACGAAGGCCGGTACCTGTACATGTACACTCTGGACAAGTTCGACTGGGGCGTGAGCGCGTACAGCCACTTCAAGACCTTCAAGTCGGCGGCCTATGTGATTGCAATGCTGCTGGCGGTGCCGTTGATGAATAAAGTCCTGGGTTGGAGAGATACGGTAAGTCTTAGTTATTGCACAGGGAAAGTTCAAACCACTTTTTTATATGCTTGGTATTATTTCAAAAATACGTTATCATGCATTTTCGATGTTTGTAATTACTTTATATCACAAAACCTTATTTTATTTAGTTGAAACGTAAAGCTCTTTAATTTTGAACGACTCTTGTACAACCCAGTACAAGTAGACAGTAGCCTGTAGAATAGAGCCTTTTTAAGCCTGTAAATAATTTAACCTCAGTTTCAATTTTCTACGGTTATATGTATTCGTTCTATCGCTTCTCTGGCTTTACATTTTTTTTTTTGGAGGACAAGTCTTAAAGCGAGAAATAAAGGCCTCAGAGTTATTATAATCTAAGTATACTACTATTATAATCGAATTGAAAGTTGAAATATAGGTTAAAATATATTTAAAATCAACTTTAAATTTAATGTAACCCTCTCTACCGCAGACCATTATCTTTATTGGCACCTGGGCCCATTCGATAGCTCGATTGTTCTTTTATTTTGCCACCAATACGGATCTGCTCTACGCCGGAGCCGTGGTCTGTAGTTTGGGACCTATTGTGGGCCCCATGATCCGGGCAATGACCTCGAAAGTCGTGCCCATTTCGGAGCGAGGAAAGGTTTTTGCACTGCTCTCGGTTTGCGACAATGCGGCGCCCTTCATCAGCGGTGTGTGCTATTCGCAACTTTATCAGAATACCCAAAAGAGCAACTACGGAGGAAATGTCTTTATGCTAACTATTGCCACCCAAATAGCTGTATTCGTAATAATACTGTAAGTGATCATATGTGGAGTAACCCTTTTATCTATTTAATGATTATATTTTTTATTTATTTTTTTTCCATTAGTTGCATACACATTATTTTGGGCGAGAACTCACTGGCCGTTCCAGAAGTTTCTGAGAAAGAAAGTGGCCTTATTGGCCAAAAGACGGATGTACTTGTAACGCCAAACGAAGAAGATAAAAGTTAACCAGACTTTTAAACTTCAAGTTCTATGATTCCTAAAAAAAAGACATGAATTTTTAAAAGCAATGCTATTTGCATATCTTATAATATCATATATAATATATATTATATCATCGTGTTTTCAGGCTCATGACTTAGCCAATAAAACATTGAAGTCAAAAAGGTGTTTATTTTATAAGGTTGGTATCTTTCATCTGGACACAAATTACAGAAAAAAAAACAGATTAGAGCTGATTCTCATCTCAGTTTTGCTGAGGGTTATTGCGTTTCAAATCGGATCAGAAATTAATGTCTGGTAAGTTAGCAAAAATGATCTCGCCCAGTATAAGTGCATTTTGTAAATATAAGCTATTTGAGTATTTTTGTATTTATTTGATTTGACTATTATTTAAAATGACTATTCTGAAAGTTAGACTTTTCTAGTTTTTCAGCTTTTAAATGATTTGGGTTCGGACAATCAACTTAGCTTTATGAAAGTATAAGGCATACTTTTAGGCAGCTTTACTTCGCAGGAACAAAGTTTTAAAAATCGAAACAATAATTTTTTTATAAAAAATAACTAATTTATTTTTTTTAACATTTTTATACAATTTTTTAAGGATTCTCTGTTTATAAAATAATTGTAAATAATAAAAAATATATATATTCCTCAGCATCTTTTTTAGAATCCAGTTTTGGCAGAAAGCCAGACAAGCTTTTGAAACCTGCAATTAAAATAAATATAATCGTGATTTAAAATAGTTACCAGCATGTACGAAAATCTAAATAATAATAAGTTCTCAGTCACTGTCGAGCTATAGCTGTAGACGCATACGAGCGACTAAAATTATTTTCGGCTCATCATAATTCATGTCAGTGGAAAAAAGTGCAAAGTAAATTAGTGAATTACAATATACGAAAGCAAAACAAAGTATAATTATATTATCAATGATACATGCGGCTCGATAATACAAGTTCCGATAAACGCTAACTAAGATGTTTGGAAAAGCCGCTTTAAACGTTTTATAAATAAATTATTTTATTATTACTTTAAATATACTGTAATAGCGCATATCTATTAAAAAATTAGCAATTAAAAAAACGGTAAGCAAATAATAATAATCAATCTGGAATCCATAGTTTGTTTTCCAAACTGCACAAAACAGTAATTCGTTTGGCTGTTCGTTTTATTTGAGGGGTTTAGTGAAATATTAATAAAAGGAAATAAATTTACCCGTGATCGCCTCCAAAATCACTTGTTTTTGGAGAGGGTGCGCTGCTTCTCCGCGTGCTCCACCACCTGCTCGTCCACGAAGAGGCCCTTCCTCCGCCGGACACTGTCCATGTAGACCTTGGCCCGGTTGGCGGAGTCCGCCTTCTCGCCGAAGTGCATCAGCTCCTCCTCGGTCGTGGGCAGCCAGAAGGGATCGATATCAATCACCTGTAAGCAGACGCAGGGTGTAAGTTCCAGGAAATCATTTAGACACTTGAGACGGGACAAAGGAATGAGGCGTCGCTGTGTCTATGCGCCTGCGCCTACGCATTGCACTGGATTGGATTTGGGTTGGGTTTATGGGCAGGGTTTTGCTTGGCCTTTGAGCAGGACCCTTTGTCTCATCGGCAGGGAAAGCGTGCATTTTCACATCTTCATTGTGTGGACTCGAGGGGCTGCGACAAAGGACTCGACGCTTAATGACTTTCAAAGGACGCAGGGACACGCATTGCACGTTACGTGATAAGGCAGACTCGCCAGGATACGCAGAATCGGAGAACGGGGCATTTCCTCAATGGCGTGAAGAGCGTTCCCTGCGCTTGATTGATGATTGCCTCCTGCGAGGCGAACCACTTGAGAATCTCTGGTGTGAGATCTGCATTGTTTTGTTTTCCTTTTTTCCAGCAAGGACTCGAGACCCAGCGGGCGGGTGTCGAGCGGTTCGCTGGAAAAACTCAGCTGTCCCACTCCAGAATTTCGGTCATACACTTTATGAATCCCCTCATCAATGACCGAGCTTGCTCAAAAACTAATTGAGATGCCGAGGCGTTGGTCTTTTGTCATGGAGAAACTTTTCTTTGCACAGCAAAAAATTTTATAAGTTTCGAAAGAAAAGCTGTTACTTAAGAACTTTACTTTTGCCACTTTAAAGTAACAGCGGGGATCTATTTCAGTCAGAAAATTGGTTATATATTTTCAGTCAAAGCTCAACTACCATTTTATTTATAATATTTATATTTACACAGTTGAACTGGTATTTTTACGCTTTTTTCCCAGTGCGTATTCTGGGCCATCTGTTCGCACTACGCTAAACTGCGGGCCCTCGAACATCTTCGCAATCCCATGTAGATCATTATCGGGCACAAAGTTTCGCTTGTTTAACAACAACCAACAACGCCAAGTGGGCAAGGGATCGAAGGAAACAATGGGGGCACTATAGGGAGCCAAGCAGTAGTCCTCGACAAGGTAAGGCAATCCCAGTTGGCAATCCCAGTCCGCAGTTCGCAGTTCGCAAACCCTGTCACAACACAACAGAAACGCAAAAGCGAGACTGCCATCCTTTGCAAATGGTTCTGCGCATGCGCAGCAGCATCCCATCTTTCCATCAATCCCCGTCCCCATCCCCATTGGCAACATTCCCACTCCAAATCTCGGGCAGAAAACGGAGGAGACCCTGTGGCAGCTGAAGTGCTCCAGAAGTGCGCAGAACTTGCGTCTGAGCCGGGCCAGACAAATGAGCAGCCAGCCACCAGCAGGCAGATGAGTGCACTGCCAAAAAAAACCATTTGATTAGGTATTCAACAAACCCAATTTAATAAGAAGAAAAGTAACAGTTGCCCTAAAATACCTTTTACAGTAAATAGATTATAAAACATTTTAATGTTTTACATAAAAGTGCTATGACAAGTATTGATAAGAATATCAAAATTCAAACAATTTTAAAGATGTCCAAATTATTTGATAGTTAAAATATTAAAGTTAAGTACTTAAGAGGTATTTTAAAATTAAAATTGCTACATCTAAAAGGCGAAACAAAAGATGATGATTTATTATACTTGATGTTAACCTTTTTACCAGTGTCCTGTTGAAAAAAATAGCACTTTTAACATCCGAAGATGGTGGCTATCCACACTAAGGCAGCACCACGCTCTAGATTACAGGCGAATTAAAGGCTCTGTTTCCCCTAATCACCCACTCTTGGTCCTCACATCCACCTTCACTACCACCATTCTCCCATCATGAGGTTGAAATATTAAGGAAAATATTGAAGCAGCGCAAAAACCAAAACAAAAATTCAAAACCAAACGACGTGACATCAACACACACACTTGGTATGGTACTATATTATATGGTCTATCTCTCTGTATCTCCAACTCTCTTTGCACACACGTGTTTTGTATCTGTGTGTGCTTATGAGTGGTGTGTGTGTGTGTGAGTGTGTTTACCTGTCCGACCGCGCGCTGTTTGTATGCAGGTAATTTACGCGGCAGCTACCGAAATACGCTGCCGTTCGTCGGTCCGCCCGTCCACTTGTCCGTTTGTCCGCTTGTCCGTTTGTCCGCCGTCCGTCCGCGACCAAGACGAAGTTGAGATTATTATCGCGCGCCAGAAACAGGCTGAAAGACTGTGAAAGAGACCGGGCCCAGAGAATATAACTCGATTCGAGTCGAGTTGATTCGAGAGACTTGGGGGCCTGGGCCTGTAAAAGTCTCCAGCGAACGGACAACGGACAGCGGACGGCGGCCTACGATGAGCGTCATTTTGACAGCCAGCGAGCGGACAATGCAAACCACGTTCCACTTAAGAACAACAACAACGAGGGCAACAACAATCCTTTGGCCACTTGGATAAACACTTGCCTTGGCATGGATATATCCCTACACGGAAAAGAAACAAGTAGTGTGTTTTGTTGGGCATATTTCAAATTAAATACAAAATATTTAAAATAAATTAAGATTAAATAGACTAGCATTGGAAATCAATGTTTGCTTAAACAAAAACAATGGTTGGAAACTTAAAATCGCTTAAATACTTTAATAAGATTTTTAAGAAGAAGGAACTCGGAATTCGAAAATGTAAATAAGAAAAAGCCATTTTAAAATTCAGGAACCACATTTATTAATTTTTTGTTGTGCCAAAAATCTCTAAGTTATTATTAAGTAATCAAATATTACAAGTGTTTGCAAAGGGGTTTATTAGAAAGTTTAAAGCAAGATTAAGATGATTTCGAATTCCTCTACAATATGGCATACATTTTATCGACCAGTGTATTTGTATGTGTGTGTTTATTCGCACCAGGCAGACTTTAGGGCACTGCCATGCTCTCCCCCGCCCTCGGGCGAACCGCAACCCCCTCTCCAGCGACCAGGCCCCCGCCTCCGCCTCTTTCCCTGCCCCGCCCATCGCCCACCGGCACCACTGCCATCGACTGTCTCCACTGTAGACTTTCCCTTTGGTGGGGGGCAGACTGTGGCAGGTATACAAAACGAGTTATCAGATTATTTGTTATTTGTCTTGGTTCTTTGCTCACAGTTTGTTGTGGCCGTGGCTGTTATGCTTTTGAAGTAGTTCCAGAGTTCCAGAGCTGAGGTCTTGCATGCAAAGCGCGACAAGCAGCAGGAACAACAGAAAAAACAACAACAACCAGAACCAAATCATATGCAACACTCCGAAGCAGAGGAAAACACGGAGCAGATCGGGCTGAAAGTAAGACCAGTAGCCAAAGTTGTTATGTTATATTTTTTCTTTTTGTTTTTTCGGTAGGCTGCAGGTCTTGACCCTCTTCCTGCCCCTGCTCCTACCCCCTTCCCCGATCCCAGTCTCCCGTCTCCGGCACACACACGTAATCATAATAACAATCTTGGGGTTCATCAAGTGGCTCGAAGAGATGAGAAGTGCTGCAGCCAGCGAGGAGTTGGGGAAAAACAAAAGGAAGCACAAAATTAAATAATAACAAAAGCGCGAAAGACAGTAGCCACCCGACGAACAGATATTTGTCCGTTAAACAGTGTGGCTCATTTCTATAAGGCAAGAGAAAATACAATTGTTATGACTACTTCTACAGAACAAAATTTCGCTACATAATTTGAATACTGATCAAGTTTCAGGCGACTGGGGAGTTCGAATGAAATCAAATGTTTGTTGGTTTGAAACTTTTCTAATTTGCTCAAGAAAGCTATGCTTAGACTGACAAAATATTTGTGAGAGGTTTTACATAAATATGAACTTACATAAAGCTGTATTATTTTATTACCAATTTTATTTTTCGTTTTTTTGAAAAGGGCCTTGCCCTCCAATAAAATGTTGCACAATTAATTTTTAGCCTAACATAGCTTAAGAAAACTCAACTTGATTTTCAGATGATAGCTTAACAAATTTTATATAAAAATTTACTTTTACACATGCCTATTCTACTAAAAAATACAGTTAAATAGTCAGATACTTTGAACAAAGCGTTGATATGTATATATATACAAGTTGTAAAATGGCAGGTACGCATTGAAATTTAATAACTTTTTCATTAAGTTTTAATTAAATTTTTAAAAGTTTTATTAAAAGTTTTTTTTTATTAAACCGTCGAAGTCTAAATGTCTAAGATTAAACGCACTGTACGCAACATTCTTGAGCTTCTGTCTGTCGTGTTAATACCGCGCCGTGAGGAGAAAGAGCAACAGCAATAACAAGAAAAATTATGATATATGAAAACTGAAAATTAGTTTTTGTTGTCTTCGGTTTATGTTTCAGCTGGCACAGCTCGACGTCCAGCTTCCACGTTAGAAGGTCATCAGCGGAGATGATTTCTTGCGGCTGCTGATCCGCCGATGCAGATGCTTAACGAACTTATTGTGGGCCATGATGCGGCAAGAAATGTAAATGGCTTTTTGGGAACACGGTGCCCCATCCCACCTCAGGGCCCTTTTCCCGTTTTTTTTCTTCCCCTCCAACCAGGAGTTGGCCACTCGAGTGAAGTTGACGCCTTCGTTGTTATTATGGGCACGTGACAACTGCGCCCACGGCCAAGAGCCCGGCCCACTCACCTGGCTGGCAGGGCTAACAAAATGGGAGGGGAGGAGGTTTTGGTTGCGGGGGGCGGAGAGGCCACTGGCCAACTCATGTGGGCGTGGACAAAGTGCTAAAGCCAAGCGTTTTAATTGCTCACGCGAAAGGTAAGCTAAAATCCTAATTGTTTTCACTTTACCTTCGCAAAGCATAATGATCGAAATTGTAATCGAATCGAATATCTTTCAGATACTTTTCCACTTGTGCTGGCAAAACTTGTTTCCGTTAAGATTTCCACACAGATGGGAGTAGAGATATAGACTTAATTCACATACAGAGAGAACACAGATTTGAAGTATATTATAAGGAAAATTAGTTAAAAAGTGGTCAGCCTTTTAAGAATTTTCTTGAATTTGCATTATGAAAATTAAACCTGCAATGATCTATAAAATGATTACAATTTTCATTTTTGAAATGCCATTGAAATATTAGAGCCATGAAACTAGATAGAATCTATGTATTTTTCTCTGTGGAACTCGACTCCCCTCCCATTTTCCCACCCCTTTTCCACTTTTCCTGCTGTCTGGCGTTGGAAATGCGTAAGAAATTATACGAAGCAACGGCAACAACATCTCAGTCGCCGGCAAAACTTGAGCTGAGAAATAGAAAATCGCCGGAAGTCATTATACAAAAACTTGTTGTTATCGATTGGTTGGGCGATATGACCAACACTAGCACAATCACAGCGATAGAGATACTAATACCAACATAGAATGCACGCACATTAAACATATTTTTTGTACAGGCGACAAAACCATTTAATTCCAATTATATCCATACATTTAAAGAAGATATAAGTCATAAAAAGATACAATACAAATTTTTCTTTTAAAAAAATGGCTTTAATCCTGGATGATTATTCTAGGAAAAGATTAACTTTAAGCTTCACTGCCTAATCAACACTTTTGTGGGCTGTGCAACTTTATTAATATTTTTGGCTGAGCTAAGCTCATCCGCTGATCTTGTCCCATCCGTTTTTAGCCAAAAGCATAAAAACGCCAAAGGGAAAAAATCATCAACTTGACTGTTAATTGTGGCCCACGACAAGGTCAGAATGCGGTGGAGAAAGGAGGAGACCGGAGAATGGAGAGAGGGAGTCTGGTTTTGGGGCTTTGGGTTACCTCGAATGGCGCACAGCTGCAGCTTCAAATGGACCATATAACTTTCAGTCCAACTGTTGCTGTTGCCATGTTGCCATGTTGCCATGTTGCTGATGCTGCTGTTGCTGCCACTGATGCTGATGTTGCTGTTGCCATGTTGCTACTGCTGCTGCCTGTGGTTTAGCTTATAAGACTTCAACATAAGGTAACAGACGGCTCAGAGCAGCGTAAGCTGAGATTTTTATTGACCACAGACAGGGAGAAGGGGCAGGGGCAGGGGATAGGGGTCAGGAATAGGGGGAGTACAGTGAGGCACGCACATGGCATATGGTCGGACAGGCGCTGCACTTGTGCCCCAGCAGCAGCAACAGCTGCTCCAGAAATCTCCGCCAGATACAGTCGTACTTCCATAACTTAAGACATTATCTAATGTCATATCGGCCTACATCTTATCGAGAATTCATGATGTTCTTAAAAAAGCCATCTTATTTCCTAACAAAAACTTAAATGACCAGGCAAGCAATGAGCTTTTTTTCACAATAAGTTTCGATCTTTATTTTTAACAATCTTTATGGCTGGCAGTATAAGATTCGCAACCAACTAAACAAATGGAGAGAAAATCATGAGTCTCTGTTTACCTAGGTGTCAAAGGGGAATAAATGTATTACTCATGAAAAGTTGTTAGACTTAAAAACCTCATTCTGAAAACAATCCACAATACGTAAGTCGCAGAGAAATATTGCGCGTTAAGATTTTATAAAGAAAGCAGTCAGTATATAATGTTTAGTCACCAGAGTTATAATAAAATATTTATTTTAAGGTGGCTTTCCTCCAAGTAAAAATGAAGTTGTTACTCTTTGTGATCCTTTTCAAAAATAAAATGTAATTTAAATATATTTGAAATTTGATGGGTATGCAAGACCTATACTATTTAATTTTATTTATACTATTTAAGTCAGGGAAGATAGCGATTTCGGGGGTAACTTCAGCGCAATTTGTTCGTACTGCTTTCCAGCCAAAAAACGTTTCTTTTCAGAAACTTAATAGATTTGAACAGTTTAAGTTGCCTGGTTTCACTGTACGGTACTCACCTCCCAGTGGCTGAACATGAGCTGGGGACAGGCCAGGCCAGATGTCTGCTTTCGCATCTCCTGGGCGAAGTTGAACGACTCGATCACCGGCAGCAGACAGGTGACCGCGAAGTTGCCGCTGCCCTGGGTCAAATCGCCGGAGAGGATTTTGCCGTGCCGCCGGCCAATTACCGCGTACATTTTACCTGCGAATGATAGCACAAGAGATACGTTCTTTGATCAGCTGTTGGTCGTTAGCTAGAAATCGAATTGGAAAAGGGAAACGGGAGTGGGTAATGGGAATGGGGAATGGGAAAAAGGGAAAACAGAAACCTCCACTAACAATGGCCGCCTTTCAGTTGGAGTTCTCGGTTCTGGTTAATGCTTGTATATCGCCTGTTCTTGTTGTTGTTCCTGGCGCGTCTCAAGGTAACTCGTAAACAAATGAAATCTTATCGGGTTTGGCCCATAAAATTGGCGGGCTTTCTGCCGAACCGCGCGCGTTTTTCGCTTGAACTTCCAAACTGGAGATGGAGATGGAGATCGTCTCCAGGTCTCTCTCGCACTCTCCACATACCCTAGCTGTGGGTACCCACGATCCTCACAAGAATTTGGGATAGTCTAATTAAAGTCTGTTAAAACAAGCTTTGCTTGAAACCAACAGCTAAATTTATTGAAGTGACTATTTACATAGATATCAAATTAAAGTTAAATAAAAACTTCAGTGTTTTTGTTTCTATCAAAACTTTTTCCAAAATTTTTTTCAAGATATAAATGATTTGCATATATTAGTCAATACTTTTAATTGAAAATGGTTCCATATTTTCAACGTTTCTCAATATTTTCAAAATTTCTCAATCCAATTCAGAGCAGTCTAGTTTTTCAGCAAGATTCGTTTAAATTAAAATTTTGTTTGTACTATATGATTCTGTGTAATATAATATTAATATAAGATTGAATATATGTAGTTGTTTTAAGTTATATTCTTTGAAATATCAGATATTTAAATTCAGAATTTAAAATTAAATTTTAGTTCCAAGAGATATGTACGATTTGAAGGGAATTTGAAGCTTCGACTTCAGTAGCCGATCTTCCTTTCTTGTTAAACTCTTTTCTGGATTTTTTTGTTCTGCTGTTCTTTTTTTGGCATGCGCTACAAGAACGAGGCTTAAACATGAAACCACCGGAAAAGGAGAGCGAAGAAGGCCAGGCCAGGCCAGGAGGAGGCGGAGTCCAAGTCGTTGTGGCTAAGGCAGGAATTAGTTTCCGGTGCCGTAGTAAAGATGACAAAAACAACACGGCGGCCGCAAAAACGGCCGAAAGGATGCAACGGAAGCGGCAAAAGCCGCTTGGCTGCGAAACGAAACCCCTGCTTTTTGTTATTTTGTTGTATTTTATTTCGTTTTTTAAGCCGAGCACGCGAGCCAGAGACACCTTGCCATCCGCTCGCTCTCACCCATGCCCACACCCCTATGCCCCTACACCCATACACCCATACAGCTGCAGATGCATCTCACAGATACTCTCACGCACACAGGCACACGGCAGCAGCAATGCACTATGGGGTTTTTGACCTGTTTTTGTGGCATTAATTAATAACTCGGTCAGTTTTGGAGATATCGACATGAAACTTTACCAATCGTCATTATTTGTCCCTAGGCACATATAGTGTGAAAATCGTTTGGATCAGGAAACAATATCCTATAGCTCCCATAGGAACGATCGGATAAAACTAAAAAAAATTAATGAAATTTAAGGAGCTGAAATTTGTTGCTCCATGCCTATAAAAGTGGATGATAATAAGTGCAACAAAAGCAAAAAGAAAAATTTTATCAAACTGAAAACTCATCGGCAGCCACGGATACATATCGACTAACAATTCGCCAGATTGTAGGCAAAATGATTCGAATTTGTCCAAATTGACGGGCAACTGACAGGACAAACATATCAAAATGATCCTCATATTATAAATAATTTGTTCATCAAACATTGTATAGCCTTTTCTTGCTCAAGCCGGCCCTTCTCGCTATTCCAAACAGCAACCAAGTCGGCGTTGGAGAAAGTGAGGTTATCTAAGAAAAATTCAAATTGCACCAATAGTGCGGAAAAGTGCACAATAAGACTAACAGATTTTTGCTCAGAATTGACAAGGCTACAACATACACTTGGACGCATTGAAAACTAATGCAAACTTCTATTTCAAAACTCTTCCCAAAGTTGAAATTTGTTCCTCAAAATTCAGCTTAAGGTGCATTTATAAAGTGACAAAATATTAGTATAAACACGCATAATTTAAACAATTAATACATTTAACATATAGTACAAGCCTGTGAGATCAGTTTCCATTTGTTTTTTATTTTCAAATGGTGTTTTACACGAATAAATTAATTTCAAAGAACGCTTTGAAAAAATTGCAAACTTAGCGCTGGTGCTGTCGGATGCAACAGCTGACTTTACAGCTGTTATGCTAACATATGCTGTTAAGTATTAACATTTTGAGTATGAGGCATAACAGTTTGATGTTCTGTTAATGCATTCCCATTTTTTTTTTTTAATTAGAGCACTTTTAAAAAATGACTAAATGCCACATAAAGTGGTCAAAAACCCCATAGTGCAATGGATGCTGCAACCACCAGCGGGAAAAGCAGCAACAACATGTTCATTCATTCATATCCAGACGCGCTCTTTCATGCTCTCTCACGCTCTGCCTCTGCCGCTCGTACACAGAGAACAAAAACGTTAAGCTAGTTAAATTTAGAAAAAATAGTAAGTTTGTAAGCTCGAATGAAGTCGTTTCATTTCTCACAGCATTTATTTGTATATGAAATGGATACTTTATAAATAAAGCTATTTTAAACCTATAAAACCAGCACTATTTAAAATGATCTCTTTAAAATAAACAAGACAAATGTGTCTTAAGTTGAAAATGTTTTTTCTACTTAAAAACATTATTTATTTTTAAAGAGATTATCAACGTTTTTTTTAAATAATAAACAACTATACATATTTTCCGAGAATTGTTTTTAATCAAACAACCATTAAATCCTGAAATATAAACTATTTATTATGCTCCTACATGAAAAGGGAGAACTGTATTTTAAGTTTTAGCCTATACGTACGCTTTCGCTCAGTGTACCGTCACGCACGCACCGGCAGCGACGCGAGCAGCGCACGTCTCTGCCGGCTTCAGCGTTCGCTCGTTCCCCGTTCGCTGTTCGTTTTTGGATTTTCTGTTTGATCAGTTCGAAAAGTGAGTTGGTCGAGCGAACAACCACAAAGTGAGGGCAGCGGAAGCGAGTTAGTCGAGAAGTCAGCGGTACTATCTAGTATTATACGTTCCAGGAGCGAAAGAGGCCACTGGGAAACAGAGACGTGTCGCGGGTGTAAAGTTACCAAATAACAAACAGAAACTACCGAAAAGCTACCGTAGTGCCTGAAATATCCAATAATTTCGAGTGACATTCGCCACAAATCAATCGATCGTTCGATTTGAAACCTGATTTGTAGAGTTCGTTTCTGCAAGTGTGTGTGTGCATGTAAGCCATGGGTTCTGGGCGAGCGAGCGAGATAGAGCCAGAACACTGATTCGATTCGAATTCAATTACAAAATTCATTGAGTGTCAATTACAACCGCAATACAAACCGCACGCACAAATCTCAGGAGGAGATCCAGCGCTCCAGAGATCCCGAAGATCCCAAAGATCCAGCCAGAGCCATAAATCATGCCTACGACATTGATGTTGCTGCCGTGCATGTTGCTGCTGCTGCTGACCGCCGTTGCTGTTGCTGTCGGCGGCACGCGACTGCCGCTGGAGGTGTTCGAGATCACGCCGACAACGTCCACGGCGGACAAGCACAAGAGTCTGCAGTACACAGTCTACGATGCCAAAGATATTTCAGCCGCAACTGGTGCGACCAGTACGGTGAAGCCTGCCGCAGAGCAACTGACCGTGGTGAGCATTGCCACGGGGACCGAGGAGAAGGACCTCGCCGAGTCGCGGCGACATGCGCGACAAATGTTGCAGAAACAGCAGCAACATCGCAGCATCAACAAGCACGGCGAACGGGATGTGCGCATCCTTTACCAAGTGGGGGTGAGTAACCAACTATTGGCCTGGCCAAATTCAATTGATTAGCCTGGCTAATTACTAGTGTGGCTCGTGCAACATGTTTGCATTGATCTGGGCAAAAACAAAAATACAAATAAAACCAACAACTGGCAATGGCAGGTTGCATAATGCAGGCAACAACGTCAGCAGACACCTGTTCGACTGGTTGCCATTTGTAAAATGCCCACGCCAGCAATATCCACAGCATCTACACAGAAAGCAATATAAACCGATCCCATATATTTGTTCAAAATTAAACACTCAATTTATAACTATTGAAAAGGATGAAGGTTTTAGACTTGAGAACTAAAAAAATAGTTAAAGAATGATAATTGCTTAATTCATTATAGTATTGTGATTCTTAATAAAATATTTATTATGATAAAGAGATCTTGTAAATATCCTATCCAACATGATGTGAATTTCTTTCTCTGTACAGCAGGTTTTGCAATGCAACTTTTTTGGGCTGGGTCCGAGTTTTAGTTTGTTGATTTTTTTTTCGTTCAAGAAACTCTGGCTATATTTAGCAGCCGCCCTATAGCCATTACACTTGACACCCACAAAACCACTATCCATATATCACCACACGCATATGGCACATTTAATTGCAGCAGCGGCAACACTCGCTCTAGATGAAAAATGAAAGTTGTTTGCAGCCGAGAGCTCAACTCAACTGATCTGTCGCATTTGATCAATTAAAGTCGCAATTGCTATAACCGAACGATATGAGCGATACCAAAACCAATTAGCCGGCCGGGTCAAGAGTTCAAAGCTGACTGTTCATGACTAAGCCATGGTCCACCGAAAAGTTCTTGGCGTTATCTTTCCCCTTAAATCCATGACAATGCGAATTCTGATCATAGGTCAAGTCGGTTCCATTGTTCCCACTCCCGATCTGGTCATAAATCAAGTGTCCATATAGAGAGAGGGGCGGCCTGCTATATATCATGTATCGGATATCTATTATGTCAAATGTCATATGACAAAAACACGCCCTGAAAATCGAATTCTTGGTTAATGTTGCTACGAGGCCGAGGCGTGAAATATCAACAGTAATCAAAAGCAAAATATTGACAATATAAACAAGTAAGCCATGG